GTCAAGATGTTAGCACAAAGCAGCTCATAGCACAATCCGGTGGCTTACTGGATGTGGCAGGTCCTTGTTTCTTGATTGACCACTAATTGTCCGCACAATCCGGTGGCTTACTGGATGTGGCAGGTCCTTGTTTCTTGATTGAGTTCTAATTGTCTTCACTGCCCTGTGCCCCAGGCACTGGTGACTTCCCCCACAGCCAAGTGGCTCTTCTGGAGTCTCTCTGAAGCTGTGTCAGTATCATTGACTTGTAACAGTTGTCTTTTGTTGTCACATGAACAAGAATTTCTTCTGGAACATTCTAGATTGTTCTATTAAGCATTAAAAGCATTAAAGAATTGCAAAATAGTTTCCATTATAAAACCCTACTTTCCTCATTTCCAGCTATCTTTGTAAAGATGTTTCCAGGAAGTGGTTTCCGGCCAAAGCCCACAGCTTCAAGGAAGACAGACATCCACACAGAAAGCCTTTGAGTGTCTCAGTTTTATTTCCCATTCTCTGCTGCCCCTATGTTCTCAGTGTAAAGACTGAAGGAAAAGGGCAGTCTTGCTTTTAGCCTCGGAGAGAGGTCCAGGGATCTGCTGTGGCTCGGGTGTGGCTTGTCACTGCTGACACACGTTGAAAGTTTACTCCCAGGCATCCATCGTGTGGAAAGGAGGGTTCTTGGAGAGTTCAGAACCATAAAGGCTTGGGCTACTTCTCAAGGGATGGATTGTTTCACTACAGGAGTGGATTGTACTGAGCAAGACAACTGCTGTACTTCAGCACACACCTGTTGGCCCCATCTGTTGTCCCAGTTGAAGGAGTAGGAGGTTCTCAATGGTTCCAGGGCCTTGGAACCCTCAGTCAAATCAACTCACTCATAAATGACCAAGTCTTAAATATTATAGACACACACACACACACACACACACACACACAGACTAAGATAATCTTACATGGAAGATTTGGGGTTTTAACATTAGCCCTTTTGAAGAAACTTCCCTCCAACGTGGTGCTTTCATAAGTCACCTCACCAGTGCCAGTGTGTGTCTGGAATAAGAAATGCAGCGGGAGTCACGAGTGTGCACTAGCATAGACTGGCCAGCCAGCTGCAGGGGCCACGAGTGTGCACTCTCACTAGACTGAAGCCACGAGTGTGCACTCTCACTGTACTGAAGTCACGAGCGTGCACCGGCACTGGACTGAGCCACGAGTGTGCACCAGCACTGGACTGAGCCACGAGCATGCACTATGCAGCACTGATTGAGACAGGAGCTGGCTGTGTGTCCGGGCATTCAGACAAGCCCTAGCCCTGAACAGCATTCAGTGGGTCACTGTGGGATGTTTCTCAGCTGGAAGTCAGAGGCCTTGGACACTCACTGCTCTCACGAGTAATTCCTGCGCCATCTGAGGACCCGTCAGGGTTCCAATTAGCTCTCTGTTGCTCTGGTAAACCAACCCCATGACCAAAAACAACTTGGGGGAGGAAAGGGTGTATTTAGATTGCATGTTGCAGCCCGTCATCCATGGAAACCAACGCAGGAACTGAAGGCAGGCCATGGCTTGCTCAGCCTGCTGTCTTCTACCCGGGAGCACCTGCTCCTCTCAGTCCTCCTCCTCTCATGTCATATGCACGCACATGTGTGTGTGACATATGTACACACAAGTTCTACATGTAGACTGCATACAAGATAGAGTGCATAGTATCTGTCTCTGAGTCCGGCTTATTTGGCTTCCTGACATGATCTCCTGTTCCATCTATTTCCCTGCAAATGTGTCTTAATGTCAGGGAAAGGACACTGTCAACTGCAAAGTGTAGGCTGAGTGTCATTTGGACATCTTGTCAGACAAAGACTGCCTCTCAAGCTGGAAGCATGAGCTACGCTCAGGAGAATGTCAGGCCCTGCTGTGGGACCTGGTTCCAGACATTTTGACTGACTTAACCCACTTGGAACAAAGAGATATTTCAGAGTGTGGTCTTTACAGTCTTACGATTACCAAAGGCCACTGTTGTCCTTTACAAATGGGTTCTTTATCTTTTACCTTCATCCCTGTCTGTGAAAGCTTAAGAGGCCAAGTGGTGATGGCACATGCCATTAATCCCAGCACTCAGGAGTCAGAGGCAGGCGGATCTCTGTGAGTTCGAGACCAGCCTGGTCTACAGAGAAAGTTCCAGGACAGGCTCCAAAGCTACACAGAGAAATCCTGTCTCGAAAGAAAAAAGAAAAAAAGAAAGAAAACTAAAGAGGCCCCAAGGAACTCTTGTATTTAGACCAGTGCTCATGACAGTTTGGACTGTGACGAGGGTTCTTCCCACGGGCACCCTGTGCTAAGAATCCAGCACACATTGTCTTTCATGGCTCAAGCATGTTTTTATCCACTGGCTCCCCTAATTCAGCCTTGTTGCACTTTTCCAACTGTTCCTGGAATGAACAGACTGCATTTATCCACCTTTGCCTTCTCACAGTTTCCAGTGACCCCAATGGGAACTCTATGCAGCCAAACTGACAGAGTGCTATGGTCTTTATTACCGTTAGGATTACGTGGAGCCTATTTTGGGTATCATTACAGCTCTCTGCTAGCATTTTCTCTCCCACACTAGGTCCAGTTAGCAAAGCTGACCTAACAGGGCAATGGCTTTCAGCAGCATCTCTCTGGAGTCCTTGGGCTCTGAGCATCAGGGCTGAAGGAGTGGGTGCTGGTCATCCTCTTAGCAACAGACAAGACTGTGGTACGGGGAGCACATGGCCTGTCACTAGCAGAACTCCAGGCTCCCTGTGCCACCATGGCTCTTCAGATAGCCAGAATAACACCGTGCTCCCATCTGAAGTCCTTTAGAAAGAACCATCATTTTGGACAGCTGGTCTTGCCATAGAGCTGAAGGTTGCTGTGTAGGCGGAAGTTTCTGTCCCGCCAGCAACTCCCAAATAAACACACTAAACCTTCCTTCTACATGCTCGGCCAATAGCTCAGGCTTATTACTACCTAACCTGCACTTAAATTAACCCACATCTCTATCTATGCTTTGCTGCGTGCGTGGCTCTTGGCTTGTTGCCTCACATTTTATTCATCCTGCTTGCTCAGCAGCTGGGTGCCGTTTCCAGACCCCGCCCTTCTCCTTCCCATCATCCTTAGTTTGTTTGCCCGCCTATACTTCCTGCCTGACTACTGGACAGTCAGCATTTTATTAAACCAATTATTAAATTTATTTATTAAACCAATTGCTATTGGTTTAACATTTGGTAATAAAACAACCAATATTTACTTAAGCCAATTATTAAAAGAAGTCTTTACAGTGTACAAGAGGGTTATTCCACAGCGTGGCTACAGTGGGTGAGTGTGGGTTGCTACAGGTTTGACCACTTGGGCATCCACGTAGGACGGCAGTTGTCAACCTGTGGATCAAGACCTCCTTGGGGGTTGACCGACCCTTTTACAGAGGTCACCTAAGACCATCTGCATATCAGAAACTTACATACAGTGATGAAGGAGCAATGAAAATAATTTTATGGTTGTTGTCACCACAAGATGAGGAGCTGTACGGGTCACAGCACTAGGAAGGTGAGAGCCTCTGGTATAGGACATGTGGATTCCAACCCTGCAATCATGTGTGTAGGTCAAAATTCCATTTTTTTAAGGAAGTTATTACATTTACTATGTGGGGGAGAGGGCACACACTGATGTGGGGCTCAGAGGACAAGCTGTAGGAGCTGGCGCTCTCCCTCTTCCAGGCTGCCTCTGGGATCGATCTCCGTCATCCAGCTTGTCTTTATCTACTTGAGCCATCTTGTCAACCCAATCACCCATCGGCTTTCTTGGTAGTTCTTGGGAAGGCCCTTTCTGTCCATTCTTCATTGGCATTAAGCTTCAGTCACAGGTAGAGTTGGGGCTGCCAGGAACCCAGTGCCCGAGCTCAAGGCCTTCCTTTCTGGGGAAGGTGACAGAGCTGGCAAACCTTCCCATCCTGTTCTTTTAGTTATGCTTTCTTTCCCATGTGTGAGTGTGGGCACATCCCCCCCTGCCCGCCCCCGCCCCGTGTGTGTGTTTGAGGCAGGTTTCCACTACACATCCCAAGTCGTCCTTAGATTTTCAGCCGTCCTGCCTTAGCTTCTGCCGTGCTGGGACTGTACTCCAAAAACTATTCTCCTGTGGCTCTTTTTGTTTTCTGTCAGTGCTGGGACTCAAACCCAGGGCCTTGTTCATGGTTGGAAGTCTTCTAACCAATAGGCTAAGCCTGCAGCTTTCTCACACACCAGTCTGTCAGTGCAGGGTTTCTCTCTCTGCAGGGCAGCGGGGTGTCTGTCTAGAGAGCTCCAATGATAAGAGTCTGAAGCAGCTTTCCTTAGGAGCCCTCCCCACCCCGCCTGGAGACTGCCCATCTACATGGTTGAACATGATAGGCTTTTTCCAGCAGTGTTGCCTGGGGCCATGGGCTCCACTGTGGCAGCTTGAACTTGTCAGCATAGTTTGTGACGGGTTGATGGATCATTCCTCACTATTTGAAGAATTTGTGTCAAGCTGGGTACAGTTTCATTGTTAAGTTACTTTAAATCCTGGTTGCAAATCAGATATCCAAGAGACCTAAGCACCACAGACAGCCTTGCTGCTGTCTGTAAATAACCCTGCCTGTCTCACAATGGTGTGGTAATGACTGGAGAGTGCCCACCTCAGTGCCTGGCAGGGGCAGTCAGCTGTCCCTTAGTGGGTGCCCACCTCAGTGCCTGGCTGGGGCAGTCAGCTGTCCCACTATCCCTGTCATCACCATTGCAAGGTAGGTGCTGCTAAATCTCCAAGGTCATCATCTGTGAACAGCGGGCACTGTCTTTCTCATCTTCCAAGTATGCTGCACGTGAAACTTCTTTCCATGTTTACTATTTTTAAAGCTGACCTCAAAATCAAAAAAGCTTCCTCCTGATGCTCGTTAGCATGTATCTGAATATGTAACATGTATCTGAATATGTCATTCAGTTTATAATTTTCCCCAGGCTCAGCAGTAATTCTGTGGTAACAAAGCTGCCTGCATGGGATCCGTAGCCCTGGCTAGGTGCTTTTTGGCCATGATGCCTGCCCTGACCTGAGCAAACACAATATCTGTAGCAGTGTCTCCAGGTTGGAATGATACCCAGGCTGCCACCTCCATCAGATTGCCATGGGAGCTGGGAATTAGTGTGTTTTTGACACAGGTGGCTGGAATGAGCCACATGAGTGTGAGGTGGTGTGACTGGCTGGGTGACTTCACTGTAACTGGTGGCTCTGGCATGCTCTTCACAGCTTTGAAAGGACCCAGATGTGGCTGCCGACAGAACAGTAAGAGCGCTTTCTCCACTGAGGCTAGACCCAGGTGACACAGAACAAAGCAGCTGTGTCCTTGTTCTTGTCCCGGCCTGCAAGGCTTACTGAGATGCTCCTCCATACAGGCATGCCTGGCCTTCCCCAGCTCATCGTCTGCAGTACTTCCCCTTACTGACAGCGTGCAACGATTGTAAAAAATAATATGCACACCTTTGCCACTGGTTATTGTGACTATACAAAGAAGCTGTTTCTAAGAGAGTTGCAGTCTCTGGAAAAACTGTTGAAACTCGAATGGCCCATTTCAGCTTTATGCACGATTCATTTTATTATGAACACAGTTAGACACAGGTCCATTAGCATCAGCCTGGGTATGGTGTGGGCAGTGCCAGCCTTGTTCGGAAGCTCTTGTCAAGTCCTCTTTCTCTTCCTTTAAACTTTGTGAGGTAACTTTTTAGTATGTTGAAATAATTTTGAACAGACTTCAGGTAGCATGTTCCATTGTACACAACTCTAAAATATAAGGATTCTGTTTTTGTTCATTTTTTTTTTTTATTTTGGGGGGTTGTTCTCACTATGTAGCTCTAGCTGTCCTGGAACTCACTATGTAGACCAAGGCTGGCCTTGACTCAGAGATCTACCTGCCTCTGCCTCCCAAGTGCTGGGATTAAAGGTGTGTGGCACTAAGAATTCTGTTTTAAGAAAAAGCAAAGTAACTTTGATACAGTCATCAAATATCTGTTCTGTTCCCAGATTTCCCAAATTGGCTTCATGAAGGCCTTTTTCCGATTTGCTTATTTGAATTCAGATCTGAAGCAGCAGCGCTCTGTTTGGCTGACCTGACTGTTCCATGTCCTAATATCAGGGTTCCCCCTTACTCCTGTGCTTTGAAGAAGTGGTCTCATTTGTCTGATGGACGGCCCACTGTGTGAGCACATGCCTTTATTCCCTCTGCATCGTGGCTGGAGGCACACTGTGTCTCTTGTTTGACTGCACACCAGCCCTTCAGCTGGGCTGAGCTGCCCATTGCCAGCCCCTACCCTGCAGTTGGTCACCGTGAAGGCTTCAGCGACCCAGAACCTAGACTTCACTCATGTATAAGTCAATTTGAAAGTTGGCTTTTCAAATAATAATAACTCATTTAATTACTCATTTAAACCACTGAGTGACTCTTATGAAGTAATGCTTTTTAGGTCAAAGTGGCTGCGTAATTCACAGTATCTGAATGGGGTCCCTTCCTATAGGGACACCTTTCAGGATGATGACTAGAAACAGAATCAAAGTCAAGTCTTGTGGCTCAAGGGTAGAGTGCTTGCCCAGCATCCTTGGAAGCCTGGGAGTGGGGCGGAGGGGAGCAGACACAAAGGAAGGCAAATAGAGAAGTGATTGGTAGAGTTAGAGTTGCCTAACCATAAGTGACAACTGAAAATGTGTGCAGTGTTTGAGAAGGAAACCACAGTGACTTTAAAGCCCCTCCCCTCCTTCAAGCCCAAACAAGCTAAAGCAGGCCGCTTTCCTTTTGGTAATAAAAACATAAGACAAGATATTCAAATGGTCTTTAATAAGGCATGTCTAGCCTCTGAGCATGACTGTGTGTTGTGGCTTAGCCCATTTGCATCTTAACTACTGTATCTCTGGATTCCAAGCTTCCCCGATGCCTCCTGCATTCTGCTCATTGTTTCATTGGCAGTAGCTCTGACTGTGGGGCTGAACTCAGGAGTTTGGGTCTGGAATGCCATGCAGTGCCAAAGGCTCTTCCACTGGAATAGACGTGGCTGCCCCCTTAGGGCCCAGAACCCTGAGAGTCTTGGGATTTTCGGACCAAGCATTTATTTAGGGCTTGAACTCATGAGTTGTGCCTGGGTTTTGTATATATCCAGCTTTTTAAATGTGTAATAACCCTCATCAGGTCACTCAGGAAACAAAGGAGCAGAGGATCGCTGTGACTCAGCCATGGGAAAGGCAGCATGGAATGAATTAGTCAGGAGTGTTTCAGTGCAGTGGCCGGCAGGGCTGTGAGGAAGTAGTGTGACTTTCCATGGTTTCATGCACTCTAAGTCATGTGTCAGCATGCTCCAGGCATCTGGCTGGGCCTTCTCTTCCTTTCTTCCAATCCTGATTTTTGAAAGAAAATTGGCAAGTGCTGATTTAGCAAAGCTGCCAGTGGCCTCTCCGCCCCAGTGAGTCCCCACTGGGAAAGGGCATCTGCTCCCTGCAGCGAGGACTTGGTTGTCTATCTAGAACCCCGTGGGGGCTGCTGAGTCAAGTCTGAGAAGCAGTTAGCTGTGGCAGAGCTGCTGCCATAGAACTTTCAGCCTGACCCTTTTACCACAGCCCTGGACTGGCAGATTTTAAGCTTGTCACACCCATGGTCTAGAAAAGAATTCTCTATGCTGTGTATCAGGCAGCCTGGAATTCAGAATAAGGCGATTGTATTCCAGTCCTCTCTCATCCCATTAAAGAGAAAAGAAAAACCGTGGGAACGGGCAGATTAAAAGTTTGAGTCATGTGAAGTCTATAAAACTGGTCTCAAAAGGAAAATGCTAGAAATACAGGCAACCACTAAAATTGCTCATGAAGGGAAAGAAGTTTATTGCTTTATTGGTCATGTAAGTCAATTAAAATGAAGTCCAGACAACTGCTTCCCTATTCTTATGGACAGTGCACACAGCTCCCCTCCCCCTGCCACATGATCTCTCTCTCTCTCTCTCTCTCTCTCTCTCTCTCTCTCTCTCTCTCTCTCTCTCTCTCTCTCTCTCTCTCTCTCTCTCTCTCTCCCTCTCTCTCTCTGTCTCTCTCCCTCGCCCTCTCCCTCTCTCTCTCTCTCTCTCTCTCTCTTTCTCACACACACACACACACACACACACACACACACACACACACACGCTCCGCATACCTTACTACACACATAAGAGTCCCCTTGGGATCTTGGGGCCCAGGATTCTGTGTTTCCAGCAATCTCGTGGCTGGATCCCGCATCTCAGAATCCTTTGAGGACACAGACTATATAGCAAGTGTGTCTGCAGTGCCACCAAAACCTAATCTGTAACAGGATCATGACCTGATACAAACCCAGAGCCTCAAATGCTGCCATACTACCCTAACCCAAACAGGACCTGTCCATACACGCTGTGTCCAGTAGGGATACAGTGTGAGTCTCACCTTGGGAAGCACAGCAGAGATTCCTGCCTGTATCCCAAGCCTAGTGAGGGGCCGCCGCTCCTTCCCCTCTCTCCCTGGAGTCTCGGTAGGAGTGTTTCTAGAACCTTGGCCGTCCAGGTCTTCTCCTACAACCTGTGAGCTGAGTTCTACATCTTCTTTGCATGGTATTTCTATATGGCTCTGTGCCAGTGTCAGACCAGGATGCCCTCCAGGGTCAGGGACTGGCAGCACTGCCTAGGAGCAGGAGAGAGATGCCAGAGTCCTGTACGGAAGGGAACAAGAGGGAATGGGTGGCCGTTGGGGAGTGTTGCAGGGGACCCCAGCAGCCGGTACCAAGCTTACCCATTGTCAGAATGTGGGCTCGCGTCCATCTGAGTGGCAGAACCGCCACCTCTCTCTCCCCTCGCTTGCTCCAATGGAAAGTGGCAAATCAGTGTCATTTTGAAGTCCTGGACAATGTGATTCAGGGTTTGTCATCCGTTTTTCCAGGGAAGGAATAATCACAGAAATTTTCTACAAGGATATGTTGCTGTGTGAGTTTTCCACCTTGGAGCAGCCAGCAACCTTCCTCCTCAGCCTTGGAAAAGGAACAATGCTGGAGGGAGTCGCAACTGGCATGGATCCACTCTGTGTCTCTCTTGGTGGGTTGGGTGCCTTGAAAGCCTTGGTGCCACTTTCCTTGGATTCATTAGGGGAGGGAAGAGACTTCCAAGAGACTGCCAGCAAGGTGGCATTTGGGAAGTGGCTTTCATGACTCCCAGTTGCTTGTTGCCCTTATCTCATTGGTGATTTTTCTGGGTTCCCGTGTATGAGTGAATTGCAGCTTACGTTGGATGGCAGACAATGCATGCCCTCAGCTCCATAGTAGAGCCATGCACCCCTCTAAACACATGAGGGAGGCTAGTACTCTGGGGTAGGCGGCCCGCAGTCATCCTCAATTCCAGCCTCATCATTTTCTTCCTGATCTCCCCTTGGAAACAACAGAAGCTGTAGCTAGGAGCTCCTGTGTAGGATACAGGTGTTAGTTCAAGATGGGTGTATGTTACACTGTTGCCGCCTCTCACGTTGGAGATTATATTAGTTTATTATGAGTGCACGAACACAAAGCAGAGACTAAGTGTTCAACAACGGGGACTTTCCCCTCCCATTCCTGAAGGCTATAAGTTCAAGATCAACATGTAGGTGGGGGTGGAATTGTCTCCTTCTGTGACTTCTCCCTGGCAGGTAGATGTTAGCTTTTTACTGTCTCCTTCGAAGGTTCTAAGTCTGCTGTAAGGACACCAGGCAGGCTGAATTAGGGCTTACCCTAATGGCCTCTTCACCATAACCATCTTATAAAGACCTCCCTCTTCAGGCTCAGTCACGTGGGGAGTGCTGGATAGTAAGTAGACTCTCAGCATGAGCAGTTGGGGGTGTCATTCAGCCCACAACAAAGGTCACGGAATCCATGGTGAATCACAGAGCAACTTATCTGGCACCTCCTTCTGGGGCTCTGACTCCATCCGAGTGGGCAGATGGCAGAGTGGAATTGTGCCTGCAAGTGAGAACTGAAATTCTCCACACCATACTCCAGGCCACTGGGGAAGGCTTAACTCCATAAGAAGACTTCTTGGGAAATACTTGAGTGGACCTTTGCCACTTACAAGTGTAAATCATAGCTGGGCCTACGACACAATTCTGTAATCCCAGCCACTCGGGAGGCTGACGCAGGAAGGTCACAAATTGAAAGTCCACGTGGGTTGCAGAATGGGTTCAAGGGCAGCCTGGCAACTTAATGAGACCTTGTCTCAAAATACAGAGTGAAAAGGGAGTAAGGATACCACTTGGTGGTAGAGCTCTTGCCTATTCTGTGTGAGGTCCTACATTCAATTCCAAATAACTTTAAAAAAAAAAAAAAAAAAAAAAAACAGGACTGGGTGGCGTCTTTGACCTCACCTTCTTGGGGCTGCTTTATGGCTACCAGCACCACCAGTAACATCGGGTGGAGCATAAGATCATACCTGGGCCTATGCTCAGTGACCCCCGACAGTCTTTTGGGGGTGGTCACATGTGCCCCGTGGAACCGTCAGCTCAAGGAATGGTGACATAGTTGTATCTGGACCCCAAAATTTGATCTAGCCAGAGCCAGACCGTGGCTGGTGTTCAGTGAACAAATGGATGGTTCAGCGAGAAACTGAAAGAATTGATAAAGCAGAGATGTCACTTCCACCCCACTGGGAGGAAGCATCGCAGGGGACTTCCTGGTCTGTGCTGATGACGTCTGCTTCATCATCCTCTTATGCGTCTCTACTGTGTAGAGGGTCACCAGTGCCACCCTAGCTGTGAGCATCAGTTTCTAAGTTGCCCTCTGTGATTTGTCATTAGGGACCTTGAGTTCTCACCACTAATACTAGTTTTGATCAGCCACAGAGAATCAGTTGGCAGATGTGTTTTTAAACCCAGAGCATGTTAGACTACCTCACCACCAGGTTAGGAAGCGGGCAATTATAAAAGAAATAAAAACAATATTTAGATCAAATCACAGGTTAAGTGCCCACATAAGGATTTTGCATCTTTGACCTCATGCTGACCAAAGTGAGGTTTTTACTGTCCGATTCCCCTTTCACCTTCTGAGGGCCACCAAGGGCATGAGTCACAACACGTCAGCACTCAGGCCAAGCTTGTGTGGGCACAGCACCTTAGTCATGGACCAAAAGCTGACCTCGACAGGACAGGGACGGTGAAAGGTAGATGATGCAAGACAGAGACATGAGACTGTGGTCGTAGCCCAGCACCCAGCAGCCAAAAGCCCAACCAGGTCCCAAGCCAACACTTCTTTCCTGGTGTCTGACCACATGTCAGCTCAGCAGTTATGAACAGCGTGATCATCAGACCTGCACACAGGAGCAGGACATGCACAAAGCAAGCGCACGGAGGAAACACTGTACCGTTTGGCCCCTGCTTTATGCTCTCTCGGCTAGTCCCCTGGCTGAGTTTACAGGGAGAACTTGGCAGAATAAGATTTTACATGTGTATGTATTGGTTTTGTGTAAGTATGTGTGTTTGTGTGAGCGTGTGTGTACCACGTATGCAGGGCCATGCAAGGCCAGAAGGGGGCACTGGATCCTCTGGGACTGGGTTACACATTTGGGTGCTGGGAACTGAACCCCAGGTCCACTGCAAGAACAGCAAGTGCTCTTCAGCCTGGAAAAATATAGTTTTATTTAGTTGGCACCCAGGGAGAATTTAACGTGTTTCTGCTAACAGTCTTTTAGGTGGAATTGGGCTGGGGAGAGTGCACCGAGTGTTAGAGCACTGACCATGCAAACCTGAGCTCAGATCCGCACACTAAGGGAGACACTGGCCATGGCTGCTGACAGCTGTAACCCCAGCACTGTGCTTCGGTAGCAGATGGAGCCGAAGCTCCTGGCAGCCAGCCAAAACAGCTTGTAGCTTCCGGCTCATTGAGAGGCCCTGTCTCGTGGGATAAGGTGGAAAGTGGTGAAGACACATGATACCATTCACTGGCCTCCATATGTACACGCACAGGTGTGAGTCCATACAATCACACACACCTCATGCACACCACACACAAACAACAACCATAAGAACCAGTATTTATGATCTCAAGCAAGGTGTCAGTTCTGTCAGTCTATGAAGAAGCTGACTATACTCTAACATCATACATGTCATAACTCAGCACAGCTGCCAAGAGTATCAGGCTTGCATGTCAGAAACTGCAATGTCCTATTCATAAGCCGCCTTCACATGGTTACATGCTTCCCCACGGGGAGAAAAAAAAAAGCCCCACCCTACCCCCTCCAGGCTGGAGAGATGGCTCAGATGTTAAGAGCACTGGCTGCTCATCTGGAAGTCCTGAGTTCAATTCCCAGCACCCACATGGTGGCTCACAACCATCTGTAATGAGATCTGATACCCTCTTCTGGCATGTAGACATACATGCAGACAGAGCACTGATACCTAAAAAACAAAAAAGCCCCTTTAGCAATCTCAGCTGAAAAACATGTTGAAGAGAATTGCCATCTGACTATTGAAAAGAATTGCCATCTGACTATTGAAAAGAATTGCCATCTGACTATTGAAAAGAATTGCCATCTGACTATTGAAAAGAATTGCCATCTGACTATTGAAAAGAATTGCCATCTGACTATTGAAGAGAATTGCCATCTGACTATTGAAAAGAATTGCCATCTGACTATTGAAGAGAATTGCCATCTGACTATTGAAAAGAATTGCCATCTGACTATTGAAGAGAATTGCCATCTGACTATTGAAAAGGCCATCTGATGACTATTGAAGAGAATTGCCATCTGACTATTGAAGAGAATTGCCATCTGACTATTGAAGAGAATCGCCATCTGACTATTGAAGAGAATCGCCATCTGACTATTGAAGAGAATCGCCATCTGACTATTGAAGAGAATCGCCATCTGACTATTGAAGAGAATCGCCATCTGACTATTGAAGAGAATCGCCATCTGACTATTGAAGAGAATCGCCATCTGACTATTGAAGAGAATCGCCATCTGACTATTGAAGAGAATTGCCATCTGACTATTGAAGAGAATTGCCATCTGACTATTGAAGAGAATTGCCATCTGACGAGGCAAACAGATTCCTCATTCATCCAGTGTATAACCAGCTTTGCAAATCAGTTTCATGTGTTGCTTTGAAAGCTGTAATTAAAAGAAGACATTGGATGTCTTAATTCATTGCCTCTCAGCAGGAAGTCAAGAACATAGACTGTTAAAACCTGGTTCTAAAAGCTGAGTGGCTGAGGGCATCTTAGCTCAGGCTATCCCAAACTGCCACAGACTGGGGAGGGCATCTTAGCTCAGGCTATCCCAGTCTACCATGGACTAGGTGACTTAACACAGACAACTTGCATTTCCCATCACTTTGGGAGACTGGTTAGTGTCACTCGTGTGTGTGTGTGTGTGTGTGTGTGTGTGTGTGTGTGTGTGCGCGCGCGCACACACACACACACACGTACATGCAACGCGCGTGTGCGCGCGCGCACACATGTGGGGTGCATGTACGTGTGTGTGTGTGTATGTGTGTGTCTGTGTGTCTGTGTGTGTGTGTGTGTGTGTGTGTGTGTGTGTGTGTGTAAAGGCAGGTGTGCACATACCATGGAAGATAGTAGAAGCACAGGAAGCCTTCAGCCTTGTCTGAGACAGTTTCTCTCTGTTCACCACTGTGTACCTCCAGGTTAACCTCCAGGGATTCCCCTGTCTCTGCCTCCAGTCCCACCAAAGGAGAGCTGTGATTACAAACAGGCATTACTATGTGTAGCTTTGTGTGGGTCCTGGGGACCCTCCTGCATGTATGATAAGTACTTTACTCAGGGAGACATCACACAAGCTCCCTTCAGGGGGCGGGAGAAGAATTCCTACAGAACTCACTGCCTTGTATACTGTGTAATTCTTTCCTACATACAGACCCCCCAAATAGTATTTGAGCTGTGTTTCCTCATCAGGTGCATCCCCATTGCTCAGCCTCTTCTCCTAACTCATGCCTTTGTGACTCGTCACTGGCTCCACTGTTTCCAGTTTCCACAGAGGACATGGTAATAGATTAGGGGCCTCTGACCTTTCCTGTTTCCCGTCTTGGTGGGAAAAACATGCTCTCTTTCCACATCTGAAATGGAATCAAACATTTCTTGTGAAATATGAATGCGTGGGGTGGGGGTGACCATTGCTATTCTAAACCTGCTTCCTCCTATTGAGTTCCTGGTCTGCAGACTGCTGTCTGTGGCTTCCAGCGTCCACTCTCTGAGCTGCAGTTAACTGCATGCATAATGGTGCTAGCAAAGGCTGCGTTTGTTTTCAGGCTGCAAAGATGAGGGTGGGTGGTTGGCTTTTGAATTGCTGCAAGTCTTCTTGGTAGCATTTGATTTTTCCATTGAGTTCTAGGATAAACAGGAGAGATGTTGATACTCTAGCATTTTGGGGATTTCAAGTAGTTTAATTATAGCAGTAAATGTCAGTTAGAGCCCACTTAGTTTGAAACAAAGTTTCTATGCTGTTTTTTTTTTTTAACCAACTTCCTTATTTTTTTAAATAAGGAAGAAATTGTCATCATACCGTTAAGTTCAACTTTTAAATGCCATTTCCTCTTAGAGCCTTTGTGCAATACATTCTTGGTTTAGGAATGGGCAGGAATAGGAAACTATTGTGAAGTGGGGTTTTATTTTATGAAGGAGACAGCAACAAAATCAATCTTAAGTCTTGTTTTGTTTTTGAGATGGGTCTTCCTGTCCTAGGCTAGCCTTGAGCCCTTTGTAGCTGAGATCAGCCTTGAACGTCTTTCAGGCTAGGCAGTCACTCTACAAGTTGAGCGAGCCATATCCCAACCCTTGAATCATCCTCTGAATCACTGAAGTGTTTTCTTCTCACTCCCTTTACTTAGTAAATCCCCTCCTTCGAGCATCCCTCAGTTGGCCAAAGAGCATTTTGTATGTGTGAGGCATTTATTTCACTTAGGAGCCACCAAAGCCTTCCATCATTTCTGCCTGCGTGCGTCAACCCACTTTTTGAGCTGTGGACAATATGAGGATCTGCTTGGGACCTGTTTGAAATGACACATTTCAAAGGTGTTCTATATTAAAAGAGGTCATTCTTTCCTGCTGAATAAGAAATTAAATGAGTGCATTTGGTGTGCTGGGGCTATTCTCGGCATGTTAGGACAACCTGCTTAATTTTAGATCTCAGCGTTATTATTCTCTAAGGCTGCCCTCCCAGGGAGGTCTGGCAATCTCTGGAAGGCTTCGCAATTGCAGGAACAAATAGAGGACAGTGGCTGGTGTTCAGGACAATCAGGAGGAGCCGTGGGGGAAATGCTGGGGACAGAAGGGGCCAAGTCTAGATGGCAAGTGTCAGGGCCACACAAAGCGAAATTGTTTCATCCCAACTGTCTTTCGTTGAGGAACCCTGAGTGAAAACAGGGCTCAGAATATTAAGACACTGGTTCTTCCTACCCCGTGAGCTCTCTTCCCAGGCACATACACCAAGCATGCATGCCTTGGTGCTTGCCTCTTCACTGCAGAGCCTTCCACACACTGCTCCCTTTCTGAAATGGCTTCTTAGTGTGGGCAGTCCACCCTCCATTAGCAGAGGCTGGGGTGTCCTCTGACCCGGAGCTCTGAGAGACAACATCCTTGACCCTCCAAAACAGCCCACTCTGCTCGGCCGTGATCCACACCCTAGAGCAAGAAACAAAGCTGAGGTGGTACCCCACTGGGAGTGGGGTGAGGGAGCCCACTCTGGCTTTGTGACTTGGCCTTGATTTTGCACTTTGCTTTCATTTCCCAAGGGCATGCCTCCCATGGGAAGCCTGGGTGATGCTGAACCATGGAAGGCCTATTCAGCCTGCACCCTATAAGTACTATAGCAAGTTCCAAAGACCAAAGATTCCATGCAACTAAAGTCCTCGCTAGCCAACTTCCTGGTCTTCAGGACAGACCTGGATGTTCCTATCCTGCAGCTCATGGCTCCCTGTGGGCCCTCCCTTCCTCTGCCCCACCACTCCAGCTACTCACTGTTCTCAGGGTCTTAAGGAGTGGCTCCCATGCAAACAGTGACTCCAGCTGAAATGGGTGCCTGGCTTTCCCTTACTGCCCTCTCAGGGTCAGCAGGCCCCGCCCACAAGAAAGAGGCTGAGAAACACTGAGGAATGCTAAGACACTTAGATCCTAAGATCAGAACCCACTACAGTCATTTACAAAACACATTAGGGATTTCCCCCCCCTTAATTTTAAAATTGTGGTGAAAGATACATAATGCAAAATTTTCTACCTTAGCCATTTTCCAGTGTGTTTGGTGGTATGGCACCAATTGTCTTCTTCTTTTTAGGTCACCATTTTTGAGTTTACAGCTATCTGGACTGTTCATTCATCCAGGCATTCTGTCATCAGATGAGTCAAAGAGCCACCTCCTTCCTGCTCAGAACTGGATTAGGTGTGAAAGCATGGGTGTTTGTTTTCCAGCCCTTGGGCAACCTGGGTTTTTTAAAAAGATAAACCTGGACCCATTATCAGCTGAGTCAGAATAAAGGAGGCCAGCAGAGGACCCGCCCACATGAGGCTTCTGGGGCAGGCTTTCCAAGAAGAGTTGAGCTGTTTAACTTTCTATTAAAGTGGGAATGAGCCAGGAAAAGATAAGGGGGATGCTGTCATGGAGGAGACCAGGATTCAGGGCACCAGACATGAAGACAGCCTTGGGGAGCATCAGTGAACCGGAACGCAGGTGAGACAGGCCCTGAGCTGGTGGCTGGAGATAGCTCATGGTCCAGAAAGCACATGGAAACCATAGGTAGGCCCTGTGTCACTTCTCACATCTGTTTTGGGAATGTCCAGAGGGGCTAGTCTGCTGTTTCCAGGATGTCCAGTGGTCAATGTAAGTATATATGTGAGCAAACAAATCCAGTTTGGCCAGCATTATTACCAGGTGGGTCAATTATCCACACCAGTGGTGTTCCAGCTTGCACAATCCTAGTCACCTGGAAGGTTTGTCAAACAGAGTTTCCAAATCAGTGAATGTATGTGTCTGTTTTCTGTTGCTGTGGAACAAATGACAGCAGATGCGTGGTTTGCACCACAGGTGTCTGACAGGGCTAGAGGTTGGGACGGGGTATGCTCGCTGGATACTCTGGTTCCCAGAGGCAGGGTCATGGCTGGTCTGCACTTACGTCAGAATCTGTGGAGGGGACTCTGCCTCCCAGCATGGTCAAATCTTCCTCCTCAGCATCATCAGAGTCAGCAATTAGAGAATGTTTCATGTCCTTTTTCAGACACAGTCTCACTATGTAGTCCAGGCTAGCCTTGAGCTCATTGTGTAGCCCACGCTAGCCTAGAGCTCACTGTGTAGCCCAGGCTAGTCTGGAACTTGGAATTCCCATCTCAGTCTCCAGAGTGGTGGGGATTACAGGTCCATGCCTCCATACTTGGCTGGAGGGTCTCACCCTGAGTCCCTGACTTCAGGGCGAGCCAGGTCCCCTTGAGGGGCGAGGGGCTGTCTGTTTAACCTCCCTGAGTGACTTAATCTAATCACACTATAGGAGCATTCCACCCTAGTTATAGCTCCAGACCAATGCAGGCCATGGACCCAGGGGTAAAACCACATTAGAGCCCGGCCTACTGCAGTAGATGGGGCATAGATCGCATTTCCCACAGGCCCCTGGGTGGTGGCCATGCTGCTTTCTGGCAGCTGATGTTGGGGAAGTACCCACTTCTGCTGAGTGTACAGGTGATTTGGCTTAGACTGTCCTGCCTCACAGAGAAGGAAACTATAGTCGGAGCCCATGGTGACTACCGCCAGAGTCTAGCGGTGACTCCCATTGTGACCACCCTGGCAAGCAGGAAGGGCTGGAGCCATTGGCCAGAGGTTTATTTAGACTCACAGTTTTGGAGGTCTCCTTCTGTGAAGACTGGGAGGTGATGGTGGCTCTTCATGGTGGGAGTGGCTGGGAAAGCAAGGTGTCAATGCCTGGAAGAAAAAAAAAGATGTATGTATACAGTGGAACATTTTTCAACTATAAAGAAGAATGACGTTTTGTCATTTTCAAGAAAATTGATGAATTATTAAGTAATGGTATTAAGAAGACAGGAAGAAGCCAGGCTCAGAAAGACAAAGCTTTCTCTCATATGTGGCTCCTAGATTTTACATAAAAACACAAATCCTGTGCGTGCGTGCGTGCGTACATGCACAGTGTGTGTGTGTGTGTGTGTGTGTGTGTGTGTGTACCTAGGGAATAAGGAATGGGGTGGGGGAGGGGAGACGGTGAAGGGTAGCGGGTAGGGAGAGCACCCAGTGCACTGTATACACTGTATACACTTGCAGGAGAATGTCCCTTACTAACACAGTGCCATATGCATTAAATATACGCAATGAAACTTAAGAAACGGAGAGAGAGTGGTAGAGTCCCCTGACTTTAGGATCTCCCAAAGGGTCCAGCCCCAATGGCTTCATCACCTTCTACTACCTCCAATCTGGGGACCAAGCTTTCAGGGGGTCCTCCCGGAGCCGTCCACACAGAGTGAGGCAAAACCTGCTCTTGCATTCACTCAGGTGGAATCAGTCAACTGACCCTGCGTGCTTGCGTTCCAGTCTGATTAGCTGCACATCTGGGAAATGTTCCCATTCCTGTTGCTGCAGAATGATGAAACTTCACAGCTTACAGAGAAAGCCATGAGCGTTGCTCCCGAGTTTCCATTTCTGCAGGGGCATCGGTCTGTCTGTGGCGTACTTGGCTTTGCTTGGCCCAGAGGCTAGAGCCTCCAGTCAAGATTGCTGCATACAGCGTATGTAAGAGGAAGTGTCCTGAGGCTGTAAGGTAGATAGATACACATGACTTTTTTAACTTTCCAAGAGCCATGCAGTGTCCGCCGAAGCCCCCTACAAGCCTCCCCATTCTAGGGCATGGAACACCCTCTACCTCTTGATGGGGGGATGGCAGTGACCCACTGAGCCCTGTGGATGAGGGATGTTGTTGCAGCTGTCTTTTGAAATTGTGTTTGCAGAGAAATCTTTATCACCGGCCTGTGGCCCTACACCCAACCCCATCTCACATACACTGTCCTCCAGGCCCAGATTCCAGCACATGGCCTAATAAAAGAATTCTTACCAAAATTCTTTTAAATGTGGTCACGTGTGGATTTTTTTCTTTGAAAATAAAGTATGCAGAGGTGGGATTTCCTAACATATCCGGAACATAAGTGAGGTATTCCTACTTAGCCACAACCATCCAAGACTGCAAAACTCAAGAGCATTCCAAATGGATGAAGTGGATGAGCCATTCCATAGCAGCAACTGGTTCTTTGATTCTGCGTGAAGCACCAACTTTTCAGACAGGTCCCTTACCCACTGGATGGACGGGACAGCCTGTCATCGTATTGGTTGGTTACTGAGATGGGCTCACTACCTACTGTCTTAGTCTTTGTAGACCATCAGCTTCCAACCCTTCGCCTGAGCCCTGAACGCCGTGGATCTCTGTGTGCATGCATGTATATGTGCATGTCTGTAGAGGTCAGAAGTCAACCGTGGATGCTATTCCATAGGCACTGTCCACTAGGCAAGGATTTTCATTGTCCTGGAACTTGCCAAGTAGGCTAAGCTGGCTGGTCAGTGAACCTCAGGGCTCCTCTCTCCACCTCCCAAGTGCTGAGAGTACAAATGTGCATCACCATGCCCAGGCTTAAAAACAAAAACATGGCTGGGGAGGGGGGTTGAGCTACAATCCTCGTGCTTGCAAAGCAAGGGCTTCACAACCGAGTCGTTTCTGTATTCTCCTGTCTCCCAAGCTGCAATGGTAGGCTCCTGTGTGGACAAGAATTGTGTCTTAGGCCCTAGTAGACTAAGGGCCATACCATACCACACTACACCCTTAGTAATCGCTGATGGTTGTGTTTGGTTTGGTTGACTAATTTTGCTGGGAGGTTTTAGAAGGAGTAACGGAGCCTTCCTCCCATATGAATCTCCTGGGAAAGCCTGTACTAGGTGCTATGTGCCCTTCAGCAAATGCTTGTGAAGGGGTTTTAGTGTTCTGGGGTATGTAGCTTGGTCTGTCCTTAGTTTAGTGGAGGAAACCAATCATATGTGATGAGAGCTAAGAATTCTGGGTTCCTTTACAAGATGTCTAATGGGGTCCTTTGACCCTAGCATGGTGTGCTTCTTAGTTTTTAGTGTCAATTTGACACAACCTAGAGTCGCCTGGGAAGAGGGAACTTCAACTGAAAAATTGTATCAACAAGATTGGCCAGTAGTCATGTTTCTGAAAGACTGTCTTGATTAAAGGTTGATGTGGGAGGGCTCAGCCCACTGTGGTAGCACCGTCCTTATGGAAGTGAGCCCAGGCTTCATAAGAGATCTAGCTGAGCAGGAGCCAGCAAGCAGCATTCCTTCATGGTTTCTGCTTCAGTTTCTGTTTGAGTTCCTGTCTTTATTTCTCTCAATGATAGACTTTGACCTGGAATAAACCCTTTCCTCCCCAAGTTGCTTTCGGTCATGGCATTTATCACAGCAAACAAAAACACACAACAGATCTACACTAAGTGATAGTTGTATGGACAAAGTCATCATTTTCTTTAAGACTTGAAAGCCTAACTGATGTAGTCCTGGCGTTGTGAGGCCTGGGAGTTTTCCTCTGTAACTAACTTCTTGCCTGGAATTTTCCTTTAAGCAATACATTCCTAGAGTTGAGACTTTGATCTCCAGAATTTGCTGATTAAATACAAATTCTCTTAGAAGGCCTTGCACATTAAACAGCTGTTATCATTAGCGCTGTAATGGGGAAAGTTTGTTGGGTAGCATTCCAGTCTTGTTAGAAGGGTGATTCCAAGGAAGGGGCCATAGGGGAGGGGAGGGTTGGGGGAGGGGCAGTGAGTGCTTGCCCAGCATGAGCCCAGAACTCTAGAGAAGTGGAAACAGGTGAGCAAGATTCAAGTGCTACATCCACAGACCTTCCAGTGGGTGGGTGTGTGCTCTGAGGTCTGCTCACATTAATGCAGAGGTTGGCTCAGCTACCTGTGACACATCACAGGACAATCAAGTAACTGTTCCCTAGCACATGGATGCCCCTGGTTGTACTGCAAACACCTCTCTGTAAATGGAGTTCTTAATAGGTCTGAATAATAAAAACCTGGAGACAGACATAGAGGAAAATGCTGAGAGACCAGAGAGAAGGAGGAGCAAGCCACAGCCACCTTTACCTCAGTAGCTTCCCAGCAGGAAAGAGAGCGACTTCCTGTTTCTTCCTGCTTATATCCTCTCTGCCAACCATCTTACTTCCTGTCTCTGCCCAGTCATCTCCTTCCTGTCTGTCTGCACAGATCTCCAGACCTCTATGATTGGCTAGTGGCAAGCTCCATCCTCTGATCTTCAGACAAGCTTTATTTGTACAAGCAAGATAGCACCATACACATCATCAACACAACTCATTGAGTATTTCACGAAGATGGTTTGTAGAACAGTTTTTGTTGTTGTTGTTGTTGTTGTTTTTAAGTCAAATAGTTCTGGTAAAATTTTTGGTTTAGAAAGGATTTTTAAAAAATCAATGACAGTACAAAATATCAATATATTAAAAACACTAAGCTGGGGCTGAGGTTCGGTCAGTAGAGCCTGCCTGCAGTCGTGAGGACCTAAGTTTGACCCCCAGAACCACATACAGAAAGCTGGGCACAGTGCTGTGTGCTCATAATGCTAGTATTGGGCCGGGCGGACACGGGCAGATTCCTGGGACCATCGGCCAACCAGCCAGACCTATTTAGTGAATTGCAGGTCAGTGACACAGACCTTGACTTGTGAGGACAAGGTGGATAATGGTGCTGAGGAACTAACTACAGCTGGGATAAGTTCTCTGGCTACACACACGCACAGGCACAGGCACACACACAGGCACAGGCACACACACACGTGCACACACGAAAGACCAAAAGAAATCACCGAGCTGAGGAGTTTTGACTAATAACTGCAATATAAACTAATGGCCCTAATCCCTTGGACTTTATGTAGCATTGCTGTTAACCTTGCCCATCAAGATACAGCATCAAGTGGGGGAGGAGGGAAAAGCCTTTTTTGTTACTCAGAAAGTACTCAGTATGCACGGTGGAGACTTTGCGAGTACAGAAAGCCACAAGGGAGACACAGCAGTCTTCCTATTATTTCTGTTTACTGTGGTCTTTTTCTTCACCAAAATGGTCAAAATAGTACTATTAGTAATTAACACTAACGAGCTGACAGTTAATGTTAGCACCCTTTTATATTAAACATTTCACTCTCTTTATTCAATGGATCTAGCATCTTCATTTTTTAAAATATATTTTAACACTCTTTTCATCTTTATTGTCTGGCCATTAGTTCATTTGCCCCAAAGGGGACATTTGCATCTTACTTAGTCCACTGTCATGAGAGTTTTCTTAAACTGAGTTCCTTGGAGTGAGCTGCTGGCCAGTCTGAGGGTTTCAGAGGACAGTGCTGGCATCCAGGCCTCCTTTATCCAGTCCCTTTCAAGTTATTTCCCTAGGTGGATGAGCTAGTCCATGAGTGCCGGCAGCTTTCGTGTGGTTTAAACAGTGCCCTGTGTGTCAGAGCTTTCAGGTGATGAATGGCGGGGCTTTCCATCCCCTTGAACTCATGCCTTGTTTGGCTTGTTGGTAACATTGGCCCTTCAGCAATGGAGATTGACCCCTGGCTGCCTTCAGATGCCGCCCTCTTTGGTGACCACTTGAGCTGAGGGGACCCACTGTACTCACTACTGAGCAACATGGAGTAGCAAGGCCCACCCATCCTGCCCCATCCTAGGGACCCCCCCACAGGTTCAGAAAGTTGTCCACAGGGACCAGGACCACAATGTAGCTCTCCTCATCTACCTGGGCCTGCCACCCTCCCAGCCCCCACTTGCCCGTAATTCCCCTTATACAAGAACCTCTTTTCTGGGGGAATCAGGCAGCAACTGGTTGAGCTAACAAAGTTGATCACTGTAGGCACCAAATAATTCCCCTCCTACAGCAGGTGAGGGCACTGTAGAGCCTCCGTGACCATTTCTCAGAATGCTGGCTCATCCCAAGGGATGTTTCTTAAAAAGATAAAACCAGGTTAAATAGTTTTCATAGTTCTTTTCAACATAAGATAATTGATGAACTATCTCATACATCTTTACATAAACAGTTTAAAATGCTGTCTTCCCAAGAAGTATCTTTAAAAATCCTTGGGGATTGGAGACATGACTCAGCAGTTCAGAGCACTTCCTGCTCCTAGAGAGGCTCCGTACCATACAAGTAAATGCTGTGGTCCTGGTTCTTGTCCACTGGCCTTTGCTCACGCCTTTTCTCGCTGCCCTTATGGAATGCCAGACAGACAACAGAAAAGATGGGGCTAGGGGCTAGGGGTTCGAGAGCACAGTCCATTGTGTCAGAGAAAGCCTGGTGGCTGGACAGCTGGCGTGGTCTGTGTCGCGGGAGCTTGAGCTGCAGTAGCATAGGAAGCAGAGAGCTAGACCTGAAGGAGAGGGTGGGGCTGTAGCCCCCAGAAGATCCTCTCAGGAGCCTGTGTTCACCTCCTAATGGTTCAGTAGCCTCCCAGGACCGAACAGTGCCACTGTTTAAACACATGGCCAGATCCCACAGGCAGCAGCCCAGGTTTTGTGTGAGGTGCTAGCATGTGTCTTTGGGTGAGAACCACATCAGGGCTGAAATTAAAACTGGCCATTGAGGGGCTGGAGAGATGGCTCAGTGGGTAAGAGCACTTGGCTGTTCTTCCAGAGGACCCGGGTTCAATTCCCAGCACCCACATGGCAGCTCAAAACTATCTGTACCTCCAATTACTGAGGA